GGGTGTAACACGTTGGAAAGGCGGAACCCGCGAGTTAAGCAGAATAGAGCTGAACTGGCGCAGAGGGATGGGTCTGCTGGCGGCTTGTTCACCGAATCCAATCCGCTCAGTATTCATGGAGAAGTTTAAACTGTGCACAAAGAAAAGCTGCTCATGATTTAAAGGCGCCGTCCATGCTCATAATATGGGCGGAGACAGTCAACCATCTGTGCTTCTCTCACTGCTGTGCTCGTCTTCATCGGTCCCGGAAAGACGGGGGAGTCGACGAAGGCAACATGTTCGACTGTCTCCGCCCACACGATCATCGTGGACTGTATAATTCACAAAAAATGCCTCGAGCAAGACGTTGCTTGTCAGTATTCTCATCTTTCAGAACAATCAAAAGCTGCTCACAGCAGTTTGAGTGAAAAAGAGTTCATCAACGCGGAAACCGTGGCCATGTCCCCCAACATCAAAACTCCGCCGTTCGACAGTATTAAGGTACTTTTCGCAGTAACTCCTATGGAGAAACTATTCCAATGGCAAATAGATCGAGGGGAGCAGTCTGAGCGAAATTAAACAACGTTTTTTTCTGCTCGTCTGCACGCTCTACAGGAGATGGTGCTTGCTCTGTGGTTTTCCCTTCCTGGTCTTCCCCTGCCTCAGAGGCGTCCCGCAATCATTGATGTGGAGACGGCTTCCTTCAGCAAGGCAGTCTGGTCAGCGAGCCCAAAGGATGCACCACCTTCACATCTCGGAATAACGTGCTAAGATCGCCATGACAAGTTTATGCCCGCCCCACATGGTCGCCCCACATCTAAGCATTTCTTTTCTAATGCGCTTCTTTGATGGTGCGTTGTTTCCTTATTAGCTGACTCTTTCGCCATTCCGAAAGGTGAGTGTGACGGTACACAGTGAGGGAACTCGTCCAAGGCGCCGTCCTCTAGCGCTGGGGCACTGACCGCAAAAGCGAACAAAGCACGGGCGCTTATATTTAGCATTTCGCAAGCAGTACAGCTTTTCCTGAAAAGAGTCCAGTGCTCTCGTCTTGTGCTTACGTATTTGAAGCCCCACGAGTTTTCATTTTTTCATCACTGGAGATGTTTCAACGTGATAAGCAGAAGAGCATGAACGTGGAAACGGTTACTCAGTCCACCGGTCTCCATCCACTGCGCCCGCTACCTACAACTGCTTAGCCCCCTCGCGTCCTGACTCAGCTCATCCGATCTCACGTCCTCGAAAGAATCGATACATATCTTATCTTATGGTTAGACCTGCTTTCAAAGCAACTATCCGCAATCAGCAGATTTTCGAGAACGCACCGATGTCGGTGGTAACTGGTACCTGATGCCAGCACCCACACTTTAGCGATTTTTTGTTATAGATGTGTGATCTGTCTAGCACTATGTGCCTTGGGAGGGGTCAGTTCCCAGAAATGCTTTGCCACGTTCCTATGACGCCACAAAGCCACTTGATGCTGTCAGAAAAGGGTGCAGGATGATGGTGAAGAAATGTTCTCGCGTTGAATAAAGCATGTCAGAAAAGGGTCACAATGCTGGGTGAGAGGGTGTAGACGAGCAGCGATGAAGTGGCTTATGGTTAGCTCCACCGGAGAGTGGCCCCTCCCGAAGCCCTTAGAGCTTTTTGTTCATTGATACGCATTTCAGCTGGAAACTGTGGAGACTGAACTTGGTGCACCACGAAGTGTAGTTCCAACAGAAACAGGAATCAGCTGGTTTTTTGTCCACTGCATTCTGTGCCCTAAGCTTCTACTGACTATGCATTTGAGGCTTATGCGTAATGGAGGATGTAAGTTCATAAATTGTTTTTGTAGACCTTAATCCAATTAACTCGAATTGCCCAGTTTCCCGATGATGTAAATAAGATGTTTTGTGGATTGTCTGAGCTCCTGAACAAATGTCGATTGGCGTCTTTTTCGTAACTCACGACAGCAGATAGGTGCTCGAAGCCTATTCTCACCTCGTCTGTCCCGCCCATTCCAGAAGTCACGCCCCTCGTCGATTTAGCAACAAAGGGGACTTACGAAAATTCGGAATGACATGAATAATCTGAGATTTATGAATTCTTGAAGGTAACTTATTAGGACAGGATACGATGCAACCCGATATGTGGAAGTTCGATCGATATCGAGTCTCCCATTGATTATCGGTTTATTTGTGCAGATTTACTAACCCGAGTTTAACTTATTTCAGTGATTTTCTTCGTGCCACTCACAATCACGCTGTGTCTTATTTCTGCTCCAATAGCATTTATGGAGTTGGCACTTGGCCAGTATACCTCCAGGCCGGCTAGCACCATTTTCGCAAGAATCAGTCCTATCTCTAGTGGTAAGTATTGCTTTTCTGATGAGTGAGTGGTAATGAATGAAAGTAAAAATCGTAGAGAAAGACCATCAATTATACGTGAAAAAAGATTTCACGATTACTGGCACGTGGTATACTGTTGAATAAAAGCTTACGCGCCCTAATAACTTGACAGCAAACCATTATGGCGGAGTCAGGCCCACAAACCGCGCATTGAGCTATGGCATTAAGCTATGTTCATACTTTGCGACTGAAGAGGTTTGACGATTTGAGAGACTAGGCGACTAGAGAGATCGCATGACGAGTATAAGAATCGACCTGGCGATTGGGGAATCGGCGATCCGCCGTTCTGGGCCATCGCTCTTTGCAAAGTATGAACAGGGCCTTACTTGTCCCCTCCCACTTTGCAAAGGGAAAAAAGGAAGGGCAGAATGGAGGGCCTGGCTCAGCAAGAAAATAAGGGCTCGAGGGTCAACCTCACTTCATTCGCCCGCCGTCTCAGGAGCGGGCTTCGCCTTTAATAGAGTTTTTATTGTTGAACCTATTCAAGGTGTTGGATATGCCATGTTGATTATGCGATTTGTACTAGCAGCTAGTGTGAAGACGGAACATCGGTGAGGCTCCTAATTTTTTTCACGTGAAATTATTTTCTCAAAATTCCTTGAAAATTCCAGACTGGGGTCGCTAACATGGGAGTTTCTTGGGCAGTTCTATTTTCGAAAAGAGAAATGTGGAGTGCTTATCGGCAACATCTAGAAGTAAGTCTTCCTTAGCAATGTTTGGAGGGCAGGGTGTTCACGAGTATTATTAGGATTCTTGACACATCGACCTCATGAGGGGCTTAAAGGACTCCTTGTGCAAAAATGGGGTCACCATAATAAAAAAGGATTACTGTATTATAATTCCTCCGAACCAAGAGCAGTTCTCTTATTTAGCCTTAGGCAAAAGCATCCGTTTCTGTGGCGTAATCCCAGGGGCCTTTTAAATGTCTCTAGGACCAAAGATCCGCTTCTCTGAAATGAAGTATGGCACTAGCGTTCTCAAGTTCGTCGATTCTTCGTATACATATACCGATTCGGCGCTCTTTGTTGACGGGAAAGGGACATTTTGCACTATCACTGGCTTCCTCAGTTCCGGTTTACATGTCTCACTCTGGCGAAACCTGTGAACTCTTGTGAAGCTGGAACAAAGTAGTCAAGCCATCATGTTAAATCCTTGTCAACTAGAGGCTGTCTAGATGGTTGCCGACACGTCCGATGGGAAGTAGCGAAAAGCGCAAAATGCCCCCCCCTCCGTCGACAGAACTGGCGCCCGGATCGCCTATCGGGAAGAGGGCAGAGCTCGTGCGCAGTGGTGCCTGTGTCGCGGTTTAGGCGCTCTGTTTTGTACAGTTTCCTACAATACTTCAGGACAGCATTGTTCAAGCATTTCTGATATTTCTGATTACATTAAATTTTTCCCATTGTACTCCTTTCGATCTATCAAGCACTTCTTGTCGACTGGCAACTTTCGGTGTTGTTCGGCTTAGGCGGGTGAGAGGGGGCATTTACACAATTACAGTCAGGTCTAGCTCATGTTAACTGACAGGTCTCGCATGTGAGACCTGTGCACGCTTGTGATGCTGCGAAATGGTACAGAAGAACAGCTTGGGTGGCGGCAACTTCCAGGTCTTCACAAGGTTGGCACAATTCTATCGGAGAAGCGCATTCAGTGCGCCCGCCAAAGCCAAACTGTGCGCTAATCGTTTTCTTTTGAGCCATCCTCCTTTCTAGCGTTCAAGTAGCGGTAATCTTGTGGGATTGGTTCCCCACGTACACGCTTGGTGATTCCGTGCTGAGGAGCCGATTTTCCTCGCACCCATTAAAGACAATTCCCACGATCAAGTGTTACGGATAGTAGATGCTTAGTCATGAACTAGTAGCCCATAAGTAACTCCCCAGTAAGGAAAGAAACGAAAAAAAAACTTGTGACACTCCGAACAAAAACCCCCTTAGCAGTGTATCCATGGCACAGAGTTTTTGTTGGAGGTCGGCTAACTCAATAAGCATTATCCGACGTGCAAGCAGTTCCCGTCAAGAGTGCAGGAAATCACCCTACGACACTTCAGGCAACGCCATGTACACACGCATTTCCGCTTGTACGCCGTTGTCTCGCCGTAAGTGGAAGCAATCGTGTTGCAATGGTTGCAATAATCGCGCATCCGTAGCCTCTTATCTCGCGCGTTTGCGCGCTGAGAAAGTGGTATATTCTCTGCCAATGCAGGCAACGATGCCAAGTGCACGGAAGCATTTCGTGGACCACTTGATCTCGCGAGAACTGTCTTTGAGTAGTCTGAATTCGGTTGGCTATGACGAAGACTGATGATGTCCTTTCTGTTCCAGACTGCTATGCATGCATGAACATATGCCCACCGCCATATATCTTCTACCTGGGGCAGTGCTTTGATCTACAACGTCTAACTAAGGTTACGAGTATAGTTGCATTTATTATTTGGTTTTTTTTCTTGAGTTTTTCAAATGCTCGTACGCCGCTCGTTGAGCCAGCAATAGAAATTTCACAAAAAAGTAGATGCTCATTGTTGAAAATAAGGATTGGTAGGTGCCAAGAATAAAGGGTTATTCAAAAGTTGTTTCATGCCGCTGCGAATTACTAGAGCGTAAAGACGCGTAAAGAGCGTAAAGAGTGTAAAGAGCAACTGTAAATTCAAAGTAGCATGACTGAGGAATGAGAATCGACCTCTACGAAGCATCTCATAGCTAGCCACCCCTTCCCGTTCCACCTCCTCCATCCCCATTACCTATTTTCACGTCGTTTTTGTTTTTACTATTCTCTTTATCCATCATCAACGTTCCCGTCCACCCACTGCATCACTTTCCTGGAAAGGGGTGCCTTGTTGATGCTACGACCGCCAACACGATTTGGAGCGGTGTCTTCCTGACAAACGAGAGATAACTTCACTTGTTGTCTTGTATCGGTTACTACTACCACTTCACCCAGCAATAATCTCCACGAACCACCCGCTAGGTCATCTCCCTGAACGGATTTTACACTAGAGTTCCAACTTCTCTCTTCGTATAACCTCGGCATTTTCGTAAATTTGATGTTATACTTCTGTGCCGACGAGGTTGTAGGTGGAACTTCATGATGGCCTAACGTTTCGGCCAGATGTCGTCCTCATAAGCATAAACGTAGCTCAAGATGTTCAATTTGCCTCTGACAATCAAATGCCTCGTCCTCCTCACGTTTCCGACGGTACTCCGAGGAACAACCGAAAAATAGAACATACTCACCAACTCCATAGAGGCATGAGCAGATCAACCGCTCTACTAGCTCTCGCTCTATGCGGAGGCGACTTTGAAGATATGTGCAGGACCATGCAGCGTACGAGATTGAGATTTCCGCTTGAGGCATTCTGGATTTCCGCAAAGAATCCTAGAATGAACAACCGAAATGAGTGCTTAGCCATAACAAATGATCTCTTACCATTTTCACCACATTGCGAGCTACTGATGTAAGCAGTGAGATGTGCAAGCCCTGAGTATAGCTACTTATAAGGACGGCACAGTGTGTCTCACTTACTTTACTAACATCTAGTGGAGCGGCGTTGATCCGCTCATGCCGCGGTGGACTTGGTGAGTATGTTTTACCTACGGGAGGTTTTTGGTTGTTTCTAGAAGTACCGTCGGAAACGC